TAATAAAATACAAGGAAATTGCCGGTAATAAAATGCCGGCGTAGCAGTGCCAAAGCTAGCAGCTCAAGCTGGGAGAAGAACGTTCAAAATTAAAAAGTAGACAAAAGCGTCGGACAGAAAATGGTCTGATATCACCAGCCTAGGACAAACGCGTACACATTGGGACACCCTAACCCGCTAAAAGTGTTTTGTGCGAAAGACAGCCCTGCGGCTCACGGCAGGGCAAACGATTATCGACGCTTTGTCGTAGCTGAACGAGCAGATCCAGGAAGCGACCGCGTCCGCGGACTACAGCTGAACACTCTCACTCTCCATGCAAAGCTCGTGCATCTCACAGCCAGCGTGAAAATATTGATGGCTCGTTATTCCCACCCGCAATGCACCCAAAACAAAAGCGTCAATATAACAGGATTACTCACCCGAAGGAAGTTAAACGAGCAGCATGACGCTTGCGACTCTCCGGCAACGGCCGTTTCCAGCTCTCCGTGAATTGGCGCGAAGCCTTAGCACCGTCCGAGCTCTTTGCCGTGGATTAGTGCGCCTGCCCCCCTCCTCCTGACCGAACTACATTGGTCCAGTTAAGAGGGACCAGTCCCCTCTTAATATGAAGGGACACGCGTGAATCTTTCTGTCGGTCTTTCCTGTTCAGAGGGACCAACGAAACGGTTTCCTTGGTCTCTCTTAATATGTTGGTGTCCCTCTAGATGTTGCTATTTTATTTTTCAATTTCCCTCTTAAAGAGAGCTGTCCCCCTGAAAGCATTGTTGTCCCCTCTAAAATCAGAGGGACAGCGTTTTTTATGAGAGACCGGTTTTAGAGTGTACGGAATGATGAAATCTTTTGTTTCTAATTTGGGGTGTGTAATGACAAAGAATTAATTGTAAAATGAATACGTTAATAGTTCTCACGTGGGACTTGATAAATTGGTCTAATATTGCTAAGCTATAAACATGGCGTTATACACTAACGAAACACCCATGATTCAGTTGTCTCCTAATCCCGTATATCTCTATGCGGGGCTAAGGGCTGGTCAATCCGTCATTCCAGGCTGTTCCCCCTCATGCCTGGTTTCATAACTTCAGAAAATAGATATCGAATATTATTATTCTTCATATAGCCTGAGCTTTGCAGGAACAAGAGGTTTCGACGAAGGCATTTTATTTCAATTATTGAATCGTTTGGCGTACATCAAATGCCGCTGGCCGCTGATGGCAGACGTTAAGAAAAGGACATAAATAAAAAAAAAAAAAATTTACCCATTTTTATTGGTGGGAAGACATTAGGAACAAACTACTATTCGCTCTTTCTCGCGTGAGTTGAAACGTGGTGGCACCAGTGTGCAAAGAGCCCCCAAGCACTTTCTGTTCTGAAGTGAAAACGGCGGGTTTCTCAGTATTTGCGAAATCAAATATACATGCTATCTTGTGGAAATGGCCACTTATAGAACTTTCAGACTTAATTCACTCTTATGACAAAAGAATGAAGAGTAAAAATATTGGGAATTATACCTTGAGCCGGAAGTGTACTGAGGCTACCCAATAGATGGCGCCACCGAGTTTGTTGCCAAACAAAAAAGGTGAATAAGCAGTGTGAGGCGTTCGTTCTTCACCTTTGAAAATATATATAGGATTCGAATATGAGACAGATGTGAAAAAAAGAAGCTCGCGGTTCTGCACTCTGAAAGCGTGGCATTCCGCGGAGACGCAGATCGAGATCTCGCCAGTGAGGAAAGCAAATCATTGATGACATTCACGAAGTTGATACTCGTGACATCGCCGAGGAACGAACCAACGTATCTACCGCCTAATTTTGAAGAAATAGGTCGATGACGAATGCATTAATTCATTAATTGGTCGGTTAATTGAATAATTTTACAGCCCCGATTAAATTATTTAGAATCTCACGCAGGAATTTTTTTTTTTTTTTTTTATAATCGCACAAGCTTTTGGCGATTTTCGGTTGAACTTCATTAACGGGGCGAGTTGTTTGTGCAAAGTTGGGCTGTTCCAAGCAAGACTGATGGCACATTTTAAACTGACCGGTATTCGGGGAAGACTGTTGAAAAGATGGGTCAGGTCGTCTGTAACAGTTATTAAAAATAAATAAAAAAATGTGTATTTAATATTTGTCGTCGTCATTATTACCCCAAATCCCAGACAGTAAACGCTGTTCTGGGGATTGATTCCCTTATCAATGGAGGAATGGATTATATGGCCAGAAACGAGATGAGGAATGACGAGACGCTCGATGTCACAACCCCGGGTCAAGTGCGTGGAGTCTTCGCCGATACGCACGAAAAGCATTCTTTTGGTTTCCCGGTGCGCACGGGCATTGACTGCTCTTCACGGAGATGTGTGAGGGGAAAGGGAGGTGTCCCCCGTGTCTGCAGAACCCGATAGTCGCCGACCGCGGGGTTCACGCTCGCGGGAAGGGCGCCCTACGCAGAAATTGCTCCCTCGGGAAAGAGGGGAAAACGAGAGGGGAGTGCTTCCACGGGGAAATAAAACGAAAATATGCAACGCACGGGCGAATATACATATATATATATATATATGCATTTAAATTATATCACGAACCTTTTTTACAATGTTTTAGCTACGCAAGTCTCGTATACAGTATACTCCTCCTAAACTGGAAGTGGCGCCGATGTTCCATTATAAAGGGGATATTTTTAACGAAAAATTTGTTTGAGCGGGTATCGTTTTTTGTGTGTGCTTTTTTTACCCCCGGGGGGATTTCGAAGAGTGGTAACGGCACGTAATAACGTCACAGACGAAGCCTACATTTTTTCTTTTCTCCGCTAAGCTGATTTGGGCAACTTTTTACGCTAAATTTCGTAGGCAGTCCTCGCGTTGGACCGGGTTTATGTACTCCCAAGTCTGCAGGACCACTTATTTTTCGTTCACAAAAATTTGTCGAGAGCCTAATCTTTTTCCTTCTTTTTTTGTAGTGAAGAGTACTCTGCTTGCCGAAATTCTGTAAGAAATCAAGATATCGCCCTTTGCGCGTACCATAAAGTTATGACAGCACCCAACTATTGATGTAGTACTGCCAGAACTGCTTCGTTTGATCCTTATATTGGCTGGGGTGATTCTGAGAATTGTATACGTGACGCCACAGACGGACGTAGCTTCACAGGCGGAGTGTGCATCCTTTTCCCTCTAAGTTTGGCGGAAAGTTCTTCTGTTGGAGCCTCAGTTAATTCCAAAGCTCAACAGAGACAGACCCTCCATGCACAGGAATTCGCCAGGAGCCTAACCGCCGAATTCAGAAACCTCACTCGAACTACACTCAAACTGAAGGGCCGCTCCACTTCCTCGAGGAAGGCGCGAGGGCCGGCGCTGGCCAATCGCGACGGCGGATCCGTCCTCGCGATTGGCCAGCGCCGGCCCTCGCGCCTTTCTCGAGGAAAAGGAGGGGCCCTTCAGTTTGAGTGTAGTTCGAGTGAGGTTTCTGAATTCGGCGGTAAGCATTTTGTCATGTTTCTTCATTTAGTGAACAAGCTTTGTAATACGACACAAAATAAGACATACCACACTTTACTTGCCGTAAAGTAGTGATTGCGCCCAAAGGCGAACTTGGAAGATTTGGTGCTCTAAGCATTTTTTCCCCCGCGGTTGCATTGATTTGAGTTTCACAGTAAAGTTAAGGGCATGAAGTATTCGCAGTGCGGCCGGGGCTCGAATGAACCGAGTTTCACTGGCGTCACACGAAAGCTAAAGCAAGGTTGGAGACACTTGCTTCGCGACACTTGAACTTGGCGTGCGACAACTGAATCAGCATAAGCCTCGACACGTGACATTTTGCTTTTGGACAAATTCCACAAAGTAAAAAGAAAAGTATGTGCTCTCGCAAGTTCTGCTCCTTGCAATATGCAGCCAACAGAAATTGTGTTTTCCGCGATGCGAGGCCCTCCAGCCAGAAGGCAGATATTCAATAAACGTATTAACCAACCAACTGTTCGAGTGAACCGCGATGGCCACTGAAATGTTTGTGAAACGCGAAAAGCGTTTGCTAAAGCACGCCCCGTCTTTTCGCGGCGAAAATCGAAGGGCCGTGACTGAGCCAACAAAAAGCCGGTGAGTGGCTGCGTAGAGAAGAGTATACCGTGTTTAATTGTAACGTTATATCGAACGTTCTACCCGTGTGACACGCTTGAATCTGGGTGACAAGACAAGACCATGATAGTATGTCAAACCATTACGTTACATCTGAACGATACAGGCAACCACCGGCTATAGTTGCACAGGCAGTGGCGTCACAAAGGGGGGGGGGGGGGGGGGGGGGACGCCCGGGGTGCAGTGCTCTCGGGGGTGTCACGGTGGTTCACAACAAAAAAAAAGGGGGGGGGGATGTCGCGGAGGGCCACGAGCCGGTGTGGGGGAACAGTCGCCGCGGGCTACCGCCCCGGGTGCCGTTGACCTATAGTGACGCCACTGTGCACAGGCTGACATTGTGACCAATGCAACAGAGCTGGGGGTTATTAGAAGAGGCTAGTAGCCGTTCGTAATACCAGTCGTGTACTTGGTTCAAAGTTTTTGCATGATCCTAATGATTCAGTATCATTCTGTTCGTAAGCCTTCATGTTTGACAGACAGTACCTTGCCAAATTAATGCATTTCAAACTCGATGAGCCCGCGGTGATTTTTAAAAGAATTGGCAGTCCCCGACGTTTACATGCCTAGACGTGTCCGCTCGCAGAAGATACGGCGGGCACTCTTCGGAGAACCCCGAGTCTCCATCCGCATCCTCCGCATCCCAAACCGCTTCTCCCGTAGTTCACCGGACCGCCGCCAGTGGGCGCCTACGGTCTTCCCCGCTTTCTCTTCGTCTTGCCCTTCCGCGTCTCGGCGGCCGAAAAAAGCGTCCGGGAGGTGGAGCCACGCGGCTCTGACGGGCGTCGCCATTGGCCCCCGCGGCCTCCCAGGTGCTCCCCAGGTGGCTCCCCCCGCGCCGCAAGCCCCGCCCCGTCCCCTTCCCTCCCGCGCCGGCGCCGCCGCAGCGCGCCCCGACTGTCCCCGACGCCGCGCGCCGAGCCCCCGGCGACCGCCGCAGCGCGACACCGCCGCCCCAGCGGCGCGCCCGCCGCCGCATCCTTCCAAGGTGTCGCAGTCTCCGGGCGCGTCGTCGCGCCCAGGGCATCGCGCATGCGTCGCGGGTGTCTCCGTGTCGCGCGGGCGTCCAGGTGAGCGCGACGATTGGTTGACGCGCGACGACGCCCCTCCTCCCGCGGCTCCCTTGGTGACGCGCGGCGAAAAAGAGTGACGCGCGTGCAGTCCGCGGGAGAGGGTGACTGCGCGACTGGGCGAGGAGGGCGCGGGGGAGGGTGACGCCGCTGTCGCGCACCCGGCCGCCCCTGGCCGCCGCCGCTGGCCGAGCACTCCGCGACACGTCGCTCGTGCGCGGACGGGGACGACGGAGCGTCGGTGCTGCGCCTCCTCCGCCGCCTCGGGGAATATCGGTGACGCTCCGACGCCTGTGTGAACTGCCGTGGTTGTGGCTGCCGGGTGGCGGCGTGCCGTGAAGTGTGCCATGCGGGACTGACGCCGGCGACGCGACGTTGCAGGAGGAGACGCCGTGGCCGCCTGCGCTGCCGTGGCTGCCGAGCAGCGACACCGGAGGAGTCCGGCCGCGCAGCCGTCGGGGCCCCAGGGCTTCGCGGCCGAGCGACGGCCGCACAACATGGATGTGGTGAGTGTCCCTTTGCCGCATGCGCGCCAGTAACCCTGTCTCTTTGAGAATTCTTTTACGCTGTACGAGGTAAGGAGGGGGGCCAGTCCTCGTCTTTCCTCGACCATCGTGTGAGAAGTGGAGGTTCTTTGTGCAATTGTGTGAGACAGGAACAGCAAAAGTCTTTCCGCCAGTGACGAACATCCCGCAGTTCACTCCTCCGCGCAGCTTCATTCTGGAACGTCTGAAATCGATATCAGCAGCGATCGGAATGGATTACACTCGTTCTACGTACTGGCTCGTTAGAGTAATACACTTTCCAAGTTCAGAAATGTTGCTCAACCCTTCTATCTATACGCACCTCCGGAAAGAAAGAGAGAGAAAAAAAAAAAGATGCGATTCAGTCAGCAGCAGCAGACTGTATCACGTCGCTTCGTAAACAGAAACCACTTTACGCCCTTCCCTCCCTCCCCCGCCTACGTTTCCCTTTCTTCTCGACTCGCGTGCGTACGATTGTGTACACAGCGGCGCAATCCCATGCTCGGCGGTGCTGCTTGCTAACGCCGTGCAGGTGGACTCGGAAGGCGGTGGGAACATTCGGCATGGGCGCCGACTGTGTCAGAGACAGGTTGACGGACGGAGAGACCGAGGGGCACCGCGGTGAGGTCTCCGTCGGAAACCCGAAACCGTGTAGCATACAAACCTACATGATTCTCAAGGACGATGATTACTTCAGAATGACGGTGTCTCGAACGCCCTTGACAGATATCTTTTTTTTAGCTTGGTTTTTTTAGGTGCGTGGGAGGGGATAACAGGTTATGCCATTGCGTGTGCACGTTGTGCCTTTGGTTGTGGGGTAAGGAAGATTATGTTACTCGCACAACCTTGGGTATCTTACTGTGAAATCGTATTACTCTGGAATCGGGCTTTTGCTGCTTCGTCTGCATACCCGATATTACGTTTTGGTTAGCAACATGGCGTGGAAGCCGTGTGACGTCAAACAAGAATCGTCGGCATCACTGAGGCATGGGGAAAAGCAAATGGCGATGATGACGGTAATGTCTTACACACGCTTCCTCCGAAAAATCGTGCCACGTGAATCGGGCTTTGTGTTATACCTCCCTCAAGCGCGAGAACCGAGTGACAAAGAAATGCAATCTGCTCACTTGGCGTGATATATAGTGCGCGTTCACTCATTAACCCTCGAGCCGAATAACTTTGAAGTTTTCACGTGAAAGCCAAACTTGTGATCACTAACTGAGGATCGGTTTGCTCTCAATACATGCTTTTATGTTTCACAAGGGCCAGCAGGTCACCTGTGGGAAGATATATCCAGCAAAATAGCTTTGTACACTCAGAATACGTTAAAAAGGACACTGCTAATTATACTAAATAAAATCTTTGGGATACCGTTATCGGCCTCGGTGGGATGTAAGGCACGAGTGTGAGCTCTATATTGTCAACCAATAGCCTAGAATTTGCTAATTAATCTTATTAATGTTCATCATAGATGGAAATCAGAACAATTGTTGGCCCGTCGTTTAAAGAAGCTGAGCACCTCTAACGCTTTGAAAACAATGAAATTCTGCTTTGCGTTATGCATCAGTTGCCTCATTTAGGCTTCCATATGTCACCACACATGGAAGCCTTGAAGAAGTGCCTTGAAGATACCTCATAATATGATGTCATAGAGTTAACGCTGCTACTCGATCGGCTTGCGATTATTCCTCTCAGAATTCGACAGCGAAAATGTCGATCTTGTGCGTCTCAGTTTCGGTATATCTAAAACCTTGACTTCAATTTGTCATTGGATGGAGCAATGTAGAATTTCGTTCAACTAAACCTAACAAGTGCCCCGTTATTTTTGCACTTGGGCTACAAATTACGAATCGAGATATGAAATTAATTCGAATATTTTAAACAAAAGTTAATTAGTGCATTTCAGATCATCAGTTTGCAGGTTACAACTGGGACGTCAGAGTGCAACTAGGACGATAGTCACCGTTGTACCCCATGGCGTCCGCCGTGGTCGTTATAGGTTATCCAAATGAAACCACTTCTTTATTTCTAGTAGTATTTATATTTTCAGTCTAAAAACTACCCTAAATATTCTTGCGTGTAATATTAAGCCTCGCGCAGAGAGGGCAAACGCGCTTATAGTCTCAGGTTGCCAAGTTCTCTTGCATATGTCGAACCCTCCCGTAAGGCTTCTTATTACTGAACAGTTTACGTGTCTTCTGTCATCTATGGGATATTTTCAATCCGAAACAAAGTGCAAACCTTTCAAGAAAGCGAGAGTGACAGTGGCTCCTCGTTTGTCAGATCATAAAACAATTTGAGGTCTAACTTTTTGTCGTGGTTTAGCCGCTGTCCTTGTGTTCGACATCGGCCGGTGGCTCAAAAAGAACCCCCCCCCCCCCGCCCCCCGCCCCACACACACACACAGAAAAATTAATAATAAAGAACTAGTAAAGTTACAGATAAATTTTCGGAGTGTTCGAAGCGGATATAGTTTACGGGTAAATACAGCGCGAACAAGGACACTGGGCAAGAATCTTCGAATATAGTTGTTGTTGGCGAATCTAACATAGAAGAGATTCTCAAAGCCTTTCGCTACACTGTTGCATAATTCTCAAACGAGAGCCCAGCTGAACACGTGAATGTTGTTCCCAAGCTTCTACTTGTCCATTTATAATCTAATTTTTATCTAACTGCAATTATGGACTGTGACTTCAGAAAGTCCGATGCCTTGGGATGGCAAGTAGACGGCGAATTTTACATAAAATTAAACCTATATAGATGTCCAGCTATACGTAATTGAACGGATTTACCCATCTTTCTATGCGCCACTGTTCTTTCTTCAATATCATATTTAAAGAAAAAGAAAAGAATCACAAATGACGAACGCAGGCTGTTAGCCTAACATATACTCCTGCATAAGAGCCAGTTTGCTTTTGAAAAATTTACTGCAATATGGATATATAAGAATCACATAATTTCCGTTTCTTTCGTAAATACACCAGGCGCGTGCGTGCACTATCCCGGTCTGAAATTCTGCTTTTCTCCCAAGCACGCCATTGCGATATTCATACATTTACAAGTGTTGATCCCGGTTGATCACCCCGTTAAGTACGCTTGTTACCGAGCACCGGTGCACTGCGGAGAAGCAACACCCGCTAAGGTCGCTTTTGCGGGTGTTGCTTCCCCGCAGTGCACCTGTACACAGTAAGAAGCACGCTCAAAGGGATTAACCCGCCGCGACCATACATCTCGAAGCGAATATCGAAGACTTTATTATTCGAAACTACTATTCGAAATGTCGTTTATTCGCACAACACTAAACGGACCCTTAGACTGGAGTATGAAATATAAAAGCCAAAAACTGCAAATGCTTGATAATTTTTTTTTTTTTATTTTAGGTTAATTTACCTCAAGCTAAACTTTCACCAGTCCGTCTTCACTTCATGTGCTTTTAAGTTTATTACAGGTTCTGTACACGTATTGGTAGCCTCTTTTTTTCACCTAGACCAGGTTTCATTTTAAAAGTGCATGCATCGTGGAAAAGGGCCGGAAGTTTGAGCTCAATTAAGGCCCTCACATATATCGTTTCTTTTTTAAATAGTATGTATTGACATGAACAAGTTCTAAACTTGTGCCTACCTTTCTGTTCTCTTCGTGGTCTATATAGGTCAAGATATACAATGGCGTGAACAAGTTACTTCCAGAGGCAGTTGTCAGCCGAATTACTCAGATAGGAGTGAACTCTCGGACTTTGGGTTTTTCTCACTGCCGAACGGGACTGAAGTAATCATGATTCCTTCAAATTATGTTTAAATGTAACTTTTATGGTTCTGAAAGATAGGGGAGGGTGCATAAAAAGTAATACCCCTATATTAGCCTGGGCTTCTAGTTTCTTCCTTTGGTTTTACGCAAGAAAGATGGCGCCAGGAATAAAATGGGCTGTTGCCAGCTAGATGAGGTCCTGACAACCAAAATACTTCGGTGGGGAAGTACCATTACAAGTACAAACTGCTAAGAACAAATGCACAAACACAAGCACCGGAACTTACACAGTTCTACTGACACCATACATAGATAGACACTTTCAATTAAGAAAAAAACTGCGCCATCCATCATGACATTAGGTAACACGTGAAGAGGACGTGCAAGAGTGTTCTATATTACATTCCATGGCGATCCAGTGGCAGTGGTATATTTCGCCATGCTCCATGTTTGGGCGATCATCCTCACACACGTGTTTTATATGTCAAAAAGCGTAAATAAAACAAAACGATATTTGAAGAGCGCTCGCATGTTGCCAGTATATATATATATATAAAAAAAAATATTTTTATAGCGATGTTTACGTCATTCAGGTTAAAATACGCCATAGATATAAAGCAGAATTATTCATACTGACTTTGATTTTCTTCTTAATCTTACAGTTTTATTTTCAAGGAACTTCGGCGCTGCTTTCTTAGCTCAATCTGTGAAAAAAAAGAAACGGAACGGAACGTGGTGTAGACACATTTTAGGTATTCGTTTGGGTACATAGATTTTTAATGGAAACCAAAAAGTACGGTATTTTCTTATTATTTCTTTGCCGATCTTTTTGTTTAACTTTTTTTTTCACAGCAGTGAGAATTTACAGCGGCAAAACGTCAACAAAAACAACGAAACGTAACGGATAAGAAAGCCTGAAATAAAATCATTTATCACGTAAAAATTTATCCTTGGCTACTGCGTGTGAATTAAAAAAAAAAAAAAAGAAATTGCCGTTGAGCTATAAAATGTGATTTACATTTGTAAATACATATTTATGTATGTTTTATTCCAGCATGACTGTCACATAAAACAAAACAGGTGTGTGATTAATATTCGAGTGTTTAGTTCGAATAGAATAATGATTGTGTATATGATTAGATTCGTCTTTCGGATTCCTAGTACTCGAATTTCCAAATAATTTGATTAATTGAATATTATAGGATTGCTGCAAAAACTCAGGTTTAATCAAGAACGCT